GTACCGTATCGTATCGTATTGTATCGTACCGTATTGTATCATACCGTACCATATCGTATCGTACCGTACCTTATCGTACCGTATTGTATCGTATCGTACCATACCGTATTGTATCGTACCATACCATATTGTATCGTACGTACCGTATTGTATCGTACCGTACCGTATCGTATCGTACCGTATTGTATCGTACCATACCATATTGTATCGTACCGTACCGTATCGTACCGTATTGTATCGTATCGTATTGTATCGTATCGTATCGTATCGTATTGTATCGTAACGTACCGTATCTAACCTTTTTAAGCATTTCTGAAGTTAGAAACAAAATCCCTGAAAACTTGATCTCTTTCTTCATTTTTGACAAGGCTACCTAATCCCCTTTGTTCCAACCACAGTGTCAACTGAATCCTACACATTAAAAAAAAAAAAAAACGAGTGACGTCAATTAGACATTGAACACTTCACACATTTATTTATTGATGGATCCTGAAAAAGACACTCTTTACTTTTTAAGCAGCTGTAGTGGAAACCAGCGGTAAATCAAGTACTTGAAAAAACCACTAACTAAAAGGTAAAAATTAATTTCCACTTATAAGAAAAGTACTTAAGTAAAAGTCATGAACTACTTATAATTACCTGCAAAATAAAAGTACTTTTACTCACACTCTWTGAAATGAAGTGTTGAATTTACTTAAGTTGTGTCAGCTGGTTCCACGAGCAATTAAAACATTTTCTTCTAAAGAAAACCTGTTCATTGCTTTACACTTACATTTGCTTTACAGAGTAAATAAATAATTCCTTTCATGATGAGTTGTTTAAATTTGTAACGTGTTAAATTTTAAAGTACAGAAATAAAAGTAAATTTTTTATGTTTTGACTGTAACAAAATAAAAAATAAAATTTACAATTTAAACAAATTGCTGGTAAAATTTAAGATCTTCTAAAAAATTACTTAAGTACTGCGAGAAAGTAAATGTATTCAGTTATTATATACCTCTGGTGGAAACCCTGATGGGATTTCATTTAGCTTTGGAGGAAGCTGTGCAGTATGTTTTCTCAGATAAGGATGTAYATATTTAATATAAATCATTTTACTGTAATGATTAAAAAAGCAGGAAAAAAACTTTTTCATGTTTCATTTAAACGCATTGGTTTGAGTAACTTTATGTAAAAAAAAAAGAAGTAATTTTTAATTTTGTATTCAACTTACAGCCATGACTGCAGTTCCCACACTGCTTATTTCTCCCCTTCAGAGTTTTTCACGCCTCGGTGAACTAGAGAGGCCTCGCTGAGCGGTACAACCATCCATAATGGAAGATGGAGACAGGTCCGAGTCAAGTGAGAGGGGGGCCTTACACCTCTTACATAACTGTGCTCCGACAACCTGCACATTCTCCCCCACCTCCTGTAAGACAGCACAGCAGACCTGCAGGGGCACATTCATATTTTAATCTCTCAGCCACGCTGAAAGGACAAGTCCCGCTCCCACAGGGCCGTGGATAAATAAGTCATGAACTGCAGGATTGTGTGACAACAGGGCCGAGGAGGCAGTCACAACAACCAACGCTGAAAGGAAGTCTTGTCTTGGCAGCAACTTTCAAATGGGATGTGAGTGACTGATGACCTCTTGAGTCTTGGGTTTAAAACCCTGTAAATTTAGATAACAATAATAATAATAATGAAGGGGAAAAAAACAGTTTTGTGCTGATGTTTTAGTGAAAATAGTTGCTGATTTTGTACGGGAAACTTGCAGCAGAAAATGAAGTCACAGAAACGGTAAAAGCAGTGAACAGCTGCTTCTCCTGCAATCAGAAAAATGAGGTCATTCCCACATTACTGAGAGCACAATGCAGAGGGTGTTCAGGTTGAAGGCGCCACACTGTGGTTAATCTGAATAAGCTCAGCTTTCAGAGCATGTGTGGGATATTTTTAGCAAAAAAAAAAAATTCTCCAGGTAAAACTAAATGAAAGACTCAAACAAGTAGACATGTTTTTAAATCCTCGCCCCACATCCCATCCCATTACATATAGAGGAACTGCAACGCTTTGGTCTGAACTCCTCCTTATTGTAACTCCACAAACCCCCATTTCACCCTTTTTCTGAGGTGTGTCTCAGATCAACTCGTTTTGAGGCTGTCTCTTTAAATTCAAACAAGGTGCTTCAAACCACACCCTCCTCCAGCTTCCAAACCACATTATTCTAGCTTGATAGAGGGGCTTAAAGCTATATAGCRGTGCAGAAACTTATTTACAAATTAACTAAAAGACTCGTCCATCCAGCCTTACACGTTGGAGCCAGAGGAGAATGAAGGACTAAATTCTAGTTGGTAAGTCCATACAGTGGATTAAAAAAGTTTACCCGTTAAATTCTAAGTTTTTTGTGAAGTATATATATATAT